ACTGAAATTGGTCAGAGAGAGAATAGAAGGCTACCTGAATTTCTGATAATTACGTAAATCTTCGTTACTTTATTCTCTATAAAGTTATTGCATAAAAACAGTCGTCGTCTCTTCTGCCGGGATAAACAAATATCCAATCCGTCTTTGAAGTGTTTTTATTATGATTTACCAGATACAGAGGTACAACTCACAATCACATATATTTCTTTTAATCGAGCCATACACCGGTGACTGGTACAGACGCGTGATTATGACCTTAAAGTAAACCAGAACCTTAAGCCCTAACAATAAGTTTGTGAAGGAAAAAAATCGCACCTACAGCTAAACTTACACCGATCAATTGACCATATTTCTAATGTCGACTAATAATTTATCAGAATAAACCCAATAGCATGAATTGCAAGTTCAAGCATGGCAGCAGGTTTAGGATGAGGCAGTGAGAACGGAATGCCTAAATCATTTTTCATTTGGACTTGAACTTCTTTCTCCGACTTGCCTTCCTTTTTTGCCAAGTACTTCATCTCGCATGGCGGGTATGATTCCCTTGTTGAAGGCGCAGCTTAACAGCTCATCAACATCTTTGATGTTGGGATATTGACGCATCGCCCACTTGAGATACACCAGGAATTCATTCCAGTCTATGTATCCGTCATTATCCATGTTAATAGCTTGCAAGGCCTTCTGTGTGTCATCGCACATGAAGCATCCAAAGTAAGGAGCCATAAACCCGTTGTAGAAGGAGCAGAACATCAGCTGATCGTCATTTTGTTCTTCTTCCTTGATGTCCCACTCGTTCCATATACTACGAACCTCTTCAATGAGATTTTGGGCGTGTACACTCTCCACATCGGCATTTTTAATGACTTCTGACATCTCCGTGGTGAGTTTTCCTCCTGATCGATCAAACAACATGGCGATGCCGGCTGCACTCGTGTATTCTTCTTTCGTGTTGTTCGTCAGGTCTTCAATCATTTGTTCCTTCATTGCAGCAGCCATTGCATTTGTAAACTGACTATCCTCACCAAACAGATCTACCAGCTTGTCCAGGATCATGCTCTCGGAAGCAAGTGTACTGATCCTCACCAGGGATTCTTCTCCAAAGAACTCAGCCAGGTCAAAGTCGGTTTCCCCAGCGGTTCCACCTGCGATGCTTCCAAAGTCAAATGCTAAGTCCAGCGCTCTTTCGCCATAGATGACTTGCTTGGGATGGGGTGGAAGGCCAGTGGTGATCTTTGTCACGCTAGATGCAGCATCCCTTAGGGCGGGGCAGTTGTAGCGTTTTAGGACCTTTTCGTTCCCCATTCGGACGAGGTTCATCATCGTGACTGTAGAACATGCGTGACCAAGAGCAGCTCCTTCCTCACAAATGCTTGCCCAGATACCGTTAGCTCCGTTTATAAGGCATTCAAGCTGCACCATTTCCCCAAGAGCCCACTTCTTGTGAACATGAGCCAAGAGATGTCCAGAGGTCCACCCATGGGAATCCATGATCTTACGTACACCTCGATAATATGACAAATACTCAAGTTAGTATGTAAAAGTTAAATCACATCGCGATCCTTGTGATATTACATAAAGAGGTATTGACGCAGGCCTTAACTTTTACGGCTGGCAAATCTTCAGAGCATGTTCTTACTTTAAACCTGATATGCTCCTTGGATAATTAAGCAATACTATTGCCAAGGACATTAAGACAGAAACAACAACTACAGACAACAACAATAACAACAACAACAACACGAACAACCAAAGACTGATTTAATGAAAACATTCTGTAGAGAAGTGTATTAACTGCATTGTTTTAACGTTACAATTTTGTTTGATGTATAGTTTGTTTCAAGCCCTATGATCACTTATTGATTAATGTTTGTCTCTGGTATGACTCCACCTGTTTTTTCAACATGATCATCTCTTGTCATCAGTGTCGGGACCAGATGAAATATATCACATACAGGAGTGTCAACTATTTAGTGAGCAAGTTTACCAGCAGTCCAAGCGCCAACCTCCTCTGGTAAAAACTTGCCCGTTGGCTCCTCAAACATGATTCCAAAAGGACGCTCAGCTTCAGGCATGGACGCGATGTAGTCCACAAGACTGAAAAGCCGCTCCATTTCATAGACCATGGCGTCCGGAAAGTCTCGTAGATTTACCATGATCTTGGCATCTGGAGACAAATATTTTCGGCTCCATTTGAATCTTTCGGTCAGCAGTGTGAACATGTCCTCCATGGTGAACTTTTCCCAGTTGATGCTTTTTATGGCCAAATCTATCTCTATGATAGGATTGATCAATCCCTGCTCTTGCATCTTTCTCAGACCCACTGGAATAGTTTTGGTGTCAGGAATACCTTGAGAGACCGACTCGAAAAACTCACTGAATGCAAATAGGTTACCCAGGTCTTCTTTGCCTTCCTCACACTCACGGACGATCTCAGCGACCCAGGAGTCATCCACGCGTGGCATATGAGAATAGGCTGCCACAATCTTGAACTGGAATCCACACTTTCTGACTTCATCGTAAATCTTACGCTTGTTTTCTAGTGTGTGCCCACGAAGCTGACCCACAGTGCTCTCACGAAGTGAGTTGTCCAGCACAATGAGGTCCAGGTCTCTCAGTCTGGCTCGCTTCTTTTTCTCTTGCTCGATGTTATCATTGACTTCCTGTATAAGGTCTTCAAATGGCATGTTGTGGCAGATCTAAATTCTTAAAGAAAAAGATAAGAAATAAGATATTTAATTCCCACGATTAACATAAATGTTCACTCAGCTTTATACCAATCTTTAAGAATTCTTTTAAACACTTTGCGACTGGCAGGTGTAACACCTGGATTCATATTGGATTTTTGATAACGTCAGTGTTGTTTTTCTTCATGTTAGAGTCTGTCATACCCTTTATTTTGTAGACGTTTATTCCTAAATTAGACAAACAGTCATTGGACCGTGTGCTATTAAAAAGTGTGCAGTCAATAAACCATAATATCTTTTGCGTTCCACTTCAGTCACAATTGTATTTTCAGAATCAAGCTAATAATTCAATATGATTTATTATTGTTTTTCATAATGACCTGCAGCAGCAAAAACGTAATCTTTCCACTTCGAAATACTTTTATTTCAGAGAGCAACAACAGTGGTGGGTTGAAACTAAAACATAAATAAGACAAATTGACTAATCAAGATAAACAAACTACAAACAAAAAATGAATACAAACGAAACAAAACGGAAAAAACACACTGATAACGTCAAATATACAACTGCAAAATCGAATTACAAAACAGAGAACTGCGCTAAGCGCGACTATAGGTTAAACTAGCATGAAAAGCGATTATGCGTAAAAGAAACTGGCTTTAAATACAAGAGGGCTGCGAAATGACGTGCGGTATGAGAAACGCACGAAAAGGTGTAACTAACGAAGAAAAACGCTGACAAACTTAATAAAAAACACTAACGAGGAGGTGTGAAAAAAATAAAGAGCGAAATAAATGAATACGAATGACACGGAAAATAATCAGCAAGCGCTTAGATCTTGCATAACCTTTAACTGGAGGCTGTTTAGTTAGACAAAAGCGATCATCGCCCCAGGTTTTCGATGCAGAAAGGTGCACCATTTTTTCTCACTGGGTAACAAAACATTACTTTTGTTCCTGCTTTCCCTGTCACTCTTAGGGCCGTATTTACAAACAGAATTCTCTTTAAAATTCTACAGAAGAGCTGTCTATGTCTGTCTCCTGAGACAATAACGGTCAGAATTCTAAATCCTCCGCTGTTCATATTAAAAGAAACTCTAATCAGAAGACATTCATAGTTTTGAATAGTTTAAATCTTAGCTCTAGCTTCATATTCCATTAATTTTCTGTGACGATTGAATTTTCTAATTTTTGCGATTACTTTTGTTAGCAACGCATATGGATTGCTTCGTCCTGTATCGATCACGGCTGGTTGACCAAAAATTTTAACATCTATACACGCAGTGTTCATATCTCCCTCACAAATGGCGGCTTTTCGAGGCTCAATTACCGCGCTTCTTTCGATGTCGTGAAGACACCAGCTGGTAATCTTTCTTAAAAAAGTAGCTTTTAATGTTTATTTGTAAAGATTAGAAATGATCTCACGAGACTTTCACATGACTTATGAAAACATGATAGCAGTATGATGACTCATTTCCTCGGGAAATCCCCTGAAAGCCATCATTGACTTCCCTGTTTTCTGAGAATTGACGCAATGGAAAAATGATGATATAGCGCTAGTCTCCTATAGTATGGAGAAATATATATAATATGGTTCTATCAAATGATTCCACTCAGTAATTCCATCAAATGATTTCAAATGAATTCTAAATCTTCCGCTGTCTTTATTAAGAGGAACTCTGATCAGAATACAAACATACTTTGGGTCATGTTACAGGATCTTGACTCAAGCTTCATATTCCATTCATTTTCTGTGACGATTGAATTGTCTAATGTTCGCGATTGCTCTTTTAAGCAGCTCATATGGATTGTTTTGTCCTGTATCGACCACCGTTGGTTGACCAAAAATGTTAACATCTTCACACGCAATGTTCATTTTCATTTTCGAGCTGAGCGTTTACAAGCGTTCTTTATCTGACCAGTGGAAGCATTTATTTAAAGCCAAATGATAGCAAGAGTGAAAAATAAAAGACATGGAAAGGATTTGAAGCTACCATGAAGAGCTTCCAGAACAGAATCACTTGTGTGCTTATTAACCCCGTTCAAACATGTAAATCAGCCAAATACGATCGAATGCAACATTCGAAACTGGAAGTGTTCCGGTTGATGAGGGGTAGGGAAATATGTTATTCTACCGAGAAATTCAGAATGTAGGAAGAAAAGCTAAGGAAGAGAATTAAAAGGCGTTTTACTTACTGTCTCGTTATCTCCCTCACAAATGAAACTAAAAGTTCAGCGCTTTTCGGGGCTCAATTACCGCGCTTCTTTCGATGTCGTGAAGACACCAACTGCTAATCTTTCTTTAGTTTCTTTATTGAAATTAGCTTTTAATATATATTATATTATAATAAAGTTCGGATATAACGCGCGCTGTCATTGGTTGAAAGAGCGTGCTCCATGAGAGTATGTCACGCCATCTGCCAAACTGTACTATGTTCGACCTTTTCCGGGACTTCCTTTTAGCTTTTTTCCGATAATTGAAAGTGAAATTTCGGAACAAGTGAGCCAGCAAGTAGCAACAGAAGAACCAAATAAAGGTTTGTAAACATACCAGGCGCCGTAATTTACGTTATTAAAACGTGAGCAGATACGAAAATCCTCAAAGGAAAAACAAAATAGACATTCGAGGTTTTAAAGATTGATTCACGCTCAGTTAGATTGCAAGCTTACGAACGGAAATAAAAATCAAACACAGCTAACACTCATGTAGTATATAAAGTTCAGTGTTCAAAAACAAAACAGAAATGATGAAAAATATAACCAAACTGGCATAACTGTTAAAATTCATTCTAATCATGACGGTGTCTGAGCGAATATGATCATGCTGACGTCCATCGCGGCTCGCTCATCATGGCGATCTCCGGTCATCACAGCAAGCCTCAGAATCTACATCGGTCGCCCTTCGAGTGAAAAAATAAGAGCTTGCTCTGATATCCTTTCCGATGCGTTGAGTGGAAAGTCACATCTGTCACTGCAGCACTGTTTTGCGGCGCTGTCATCCCGAGCGATCTTCATATTCCGGTGAATTCGGCTGTCGTTCATTCAAAAAACACTCGCCCTGAACAGTTTGTTTTCTACCTTGTCATGTGAAAAAACTCGCGTTTTTTTATGAGCCATAATTCGGCTGAAGTTCACTGAACATTTCACTTCAAGATTCTGTATTAGAGACTTAAAAACTTCAGGCAAAAGTGTTAAATTCGACCTACCAAACTATTTTAGTTTGTAAACTATCGCAGAAGGTGAGCTTTGATGGTTTTTTAACTTTGATGGTTTGACACTTTTGACAGCTTTAGTCTTTGGTCTGATTTAGCCAATCAGATTATTTGAACCATTCCAACAGGGATTCTGATTGGCTTATTGTAGCGTGCTTTATGAGAGTATAGAGCATGCTGACGACACTGTTGTTCGCTTTGGAAATAAAGTTTGTTTTGAAAATTGAAAGTAATGCTCGGGGAATTTAATGGATTCTTTATTATAAAACAAATAGAGAAGCCTTGGCTGTGCTCTGTTCTGTTATAAAGCACTTAGGAAGCGGCTAGAGCACTCAAGAAGTGGGGAGAAACACTCGACTACGTCTCGTGTTTCTCCCTACACTTCTTTCGTGCTCTAGCCGCTTCCTGCGTGCTTTATAACAGAACAGAGAACAACCAAGGTTTCTCTATTTGTTAATTTGTAAAGGTCTCCAACATTCTCACGAGACTTTCACATGATTTAGGAGAGCATGACAGCAATGTGATGCCTCATTTCCTCGGAAAATCCCCTAAAAGCCATCACTGACTTCCCTTTTTTCTGAGAATGTCTCCCGATGGAAAAATGATGATATAGCGCTAGTCTCCTATAGTATAGAAAAATATATAAAATGATTCTATCAAATGATTCCACTCAATAATTCTATCAAAATATTTCGGTAAGTAATTCTATCAAATGAATTCGTTAAATAATTTCATCAAATGATTTTGTTAAATAATTTCTGTAATATGTAAAGTAATAAAGACAGTTGGCATTTTTGTACGCGATCACTTTGTGATCTTGTACCGCCAACCCCAATATTTCTCTTATAACACCTTGCGACCCAGATGAGAAATTAGACTTGATTCAACATGCCTAGTTTGTTAAAACGGGATCAATAGATCCCGATTCAAACACATTATTGCGCCTCTGCTTGGCGCAATAATGTGCTCGGATATTTGTCCGCGGACACTATTTGTTCCAAGATGCAAACATTTTTTTGAGAGCAAAGCTCGAGGAAAACTGTGAGCTTCGAGAAACATATTAAGTCCAAGGAAAAATATGCTTGTATATTTTCGCGCAAAACAGATGCTATTTTGTTTATTATCCTTCAAATATTTTGCAACACGTGGAAAAAACGTTTACGAACAGCTTACTGTTTGCTGCGTTGAGAGTTTTCTTTTTAATGTTCTCTGGCACGACTTAATGAACAAACAAATACGTTTGCTTTCGTATGTAAGAACCATAGAACACTCTCTCTTCTTGAATTAAATTTTGAAAGGGTGGTATCTTTGGATATCCCCTACTTTTAGCTGGAGAATATCCGGTCACATAATGGCTTTAACATTCAGTCACTCTAGAAAGAACTTTGATCCAATTAAGGTTAATGATCAGGACTTAGAGTGTGTAGAGCAAGCAAAGATCTTAGGTTTGCAGATATCTTGCGATCTTACGTGGAATAATCACGTATCCGAAGTTGTAAAGAAAGTAAACAAGCGCCTGTATTTTTTGCGTCAGCTTAAGCGTGCACAGGTCAAGTCGGAGGAGCTTTTGCTCTTCTATTTGACTTGTATTAGGCCTGTCACTGAATATGCATGCCCTGTTTATCATCATAGCCTCCCGCAATACCTTTCAGTAGATCTTGAGAGATGTCAAAGGCGAGCTCTACGTATTATCTATCCAGATTGTTCGTACAATGAGGCGCTTCTTTTGACTGGTCTAGTTCCCTTACACAACCGCCGCGAGTTCTTATGTGATAAGCTTTTTAATTC